AACTATCCTTCATCTCAGACTCTTGCATACTTTTATTGGTAAGCATATTCCTACCAGAAATTATTCTCTACTTTAAACATCTTCATGAGCACAGAGAAGCTCTAGCATGAGTAAGATAGTTGCCATTGCTATGTGCATTAGCACTCTGTAATAAAAGTGGATATTCTTTCCCCTTATGAAAACAAAGCCAAAGGCATCTAGTGTAATTAATGCAGCCATGTAATGTAAGAGGGAATTTTGTATTGCCTGCTGCATGATCAGCAACTGTTCTGTGGCAATGCTAACTATTCTAACCAAACAGAAAAGGCCCCTTTGTATGCAGCTTAGCTCAAGCAGTGAAATCAATACAGGCAGGACACAAATCATTACAAGCAATATTTATACAGCAGGGGGAATTCATATTGGACAACATTGTTCCAAGTTTGCCACAGTGTTTTCATAAATCTAGCCCCTATGGCAGATGACTACAGAGACTTGACCCTAAATTACCTAATTAAGCAAACTATTCTACTTTCTGACCGACTTTACTGGCAGGACACACTTTGCTGTCCAGCAGCTGAGCTAAAACGTTATGTAAATCTGAGATGACATTTATCTCAAGGAAACTTGCCAGACATATTCACAGATATAAATACTGTAACCTGTTACTTATTATTTGAAGAATACGAATATATTTTATTATCCAAATAGACAAACTGGAAGGAATTCAAAGCAGAGGAAGCTTTTCTTTTCAAATAATTTTTTTCAGAGATGGAAGGGGAGAGAGAAGCATGCATAGTTTGCCTGAGTGAGGTTTGTCCTCTCATCCCTCCTCTGCACCATCTGTGCATCCATAGACCGAGCACAGGCTGTGAGAATGCAAGAGGATGAGCAGAAAGTCATCTCATAGTGATTCTGCACCGGGCCACCACAAGGAATCTCCTGGCCTTGACATAGTTGCTACACTGAGGGGCACTTTCACAGCCACTTGAAGCTTACTCTACCAAACTGAGACAGTGCCTTGGAAACTGGTGTAATGTAGAAACAACCTCTGGGCTGGTTACATCATGTGGGGGCTATTGTTGAGCTCTGTAACAGCCCAGCTTGACACAAAAGAAATGTAAAGCTCTTTATTTACAATCCACCCTCCCACCTGCACTGTGTTTGCTCTACAAGAGGACAAAACAATAGTTTCCAAATTGTTGAAAGAGAGAAAAATCCAAAGCTGAAGAGAATTCTCTAAGAAGGGGACAAGTATTAGAAGTTGCAAAAGTAGTAGGAGAATATTTTAAAGAGGAATGAGTAGGTTAGGTAAAGCTTCCCAGAAGTGAGATACAAGAAAAATCTGTAGTGAAAGAACCTCAGCTCATTAATTTAAAGTCAAACCAGTGAAAGCCTTCAACAGAGCAGCTCCTCAAAGAGCTGGGATACTCCCTAATGCTCCTAGCAGAGGGAGGTAAAATCTTTACTTTGTCTCGTGTTCTTTAATCTGGGAGTTACTTCTTTCAGCAAAGGAGTCCATTCCTCCCCTTCACTACTTCAGGTACTGTTCATGAATTTCTTCAACAAAGGAATAGCTGGCTGGAATATTGAACCTCTCCTGTTTCTTGGCTGGGCAAACTGGCTACTGGGAAATGCTGCTTTTCAGTGCCTTTCCTCAGAAATATGGGCGCTAGTTCTGAATTCTTCAGCATTTCTCAGACATGGAGGGGGTCAACACCAGGGACCAATGGCCACGAACACAGATACAGCGCTGTGGCTTTGTGGTTAGAAGCTGGAATCTTTTGCCCCAGAGCTCTCACTGACCCGTAACTGCTAGAAGGCCAAGCTGCTAGCAGGAGCAGGGAGAAGGGCTTTTATCTTCTGTGGAGGTGGAGCGGTTGTTCCATTGACTGAAGAGCACTGTTACACATCCTGTAAGGATTTCTGTATGAAGGGTGGAGAATAGCGAGGTATAACGGGTTATGATTATTGTATGTGACTGGATCAAAGAAGGAAAATAATTTCTTAGTGTGTATGGGATTGTGTATGAATGTTTTTATCTAAATCAGTTTTATTTTTCTAACACAGGCTGTTGATGAGTCATACACTATTTTCCAGGGCCTACAAAAGATGACTGGGAAAGGCATAGCTATTGGGAATAAGCTTAAATTTGCTGCATGTGGTCTGGCTCTCCATTAGAACACCTTTAAGAGTGTCCATTCTGCAAAAAAACTGAAAGCACCTAACCTACTTAGTAAATGGGCTCTGTTTAAGAAGAACAGGATGGAAAAAGTAATAGCTGAATAGAAAAAAACAGTGACCTAGAACCCAGCAGGCCTCTGAAGGGAGAAGATAATGTATTAGCTGACTCCACCTCCATCAAAATGCTAGGGTTTTTTGCCAGATCTGGGAACTAACACATCACAGGATGTAAAGAGTTAAGTGACCTGCTCTTTGGAGCAGAAGGGATGAAGGAGGGGAGAAAGCTTTAGATAAGATTTGAAGAATTCTCCCTTTTGAAGAACTAGGAGAGAAATATTTTGTGAATTAGGGGCTGGGATTAGCTGGTCAGGTCCTAAAGCAGGACTACTCAAACAATGGCTCCAGCACAGCTGCAAGGCAAACCAATTTTGATTGGGCTTTGCCAAAGTGCCATGCAAGAACAAATAAAGGGTGGCTAGCTGCAAGGAGGAACTGGGACTGGGAACTATGAATGCTCTCCCCTCTTCATGCCCATACACACATCCAAGGTGGGAGACAATCTTGTCAGAAATTGTGTAACTCTGCCCGTAGGTTACAAGGCAGGGACTGTAGGGGATCTGGTCCCAAGATGTTCTGTTCTACTTTGTAGTTTTAAGGTCTGTTCTGAGGCTTTAAGAAAATTGGCACTGCCACTGCTGCCAGCAGAAGCAGAGCTGCCTTGTCAAGGCTGGCCTGCTGAGGAATTCACAGTCTGCAGGAGGGGAAACAGGGCCCTGTGCGAGCGTAGAGGTACATGATTCAGTACTGGTTTATGGGGATGGTTAAAGGACTTGATAACAACACTCAGAGGATGCTCAGTGAGGCCACAAGAGGTCAAAAGTGTGTGTAAATCAGGAATTATGACAACCTAGAGGCAAGAAAACAAGACCGTGGGAACACAGCTTCCCTGGGAATATCCATTATTTAAATTCTCTTAATTCAGCTTGCAGAGAGACAAGGACAGTTGAAGACAGATCTGCTGAGTTCTTGATGGGACTCTGCCTGCATTATGATGTTGGAGTTTGGCCTTATAGTGTAAAGCAATTAGAATATATTTCTACTCCCATTCCTGCCAAATCTGGTTCTGCAAGTTGGTGCTGTGGGAACCGTGATACCTTGTGTAAAGCAGTTATCATTCTGGGAACAAAAAGGTTAATCTCGTCAAATTTTAGAATAACTCTAAAAATGACCAGCCTCCATTCTAACATTTGAGGACCAAAGATCCCAAGAGAAATGCTAACACTGTGATGATTAGCAGGGAGTAAAAGGTAAACAACATGGTTTGCTTTGCACTGAGGCCAACTTTTTTGTAGTTTCTGTGACCACACTGAGGTCTCACAGTGGCTGACTGGACTCATCTTTGTACATGGACCATTGGATTTACTTCCTAACATTGCAAACTCAGGGTTATATTTTTATATACAATCTAGAACATAGAAATTATTGGTATCAGTAATGTTGGAATGTCACATTACTAAGCTGGAAAAAAAGAAAGGGAGCAACAGAAAGCCTCCTTTTGCTGTAACTTTCATCGTCTGTTGCTGCTATTCCTTCTATGTTGTACATGAAAGCTATTTCACCCCCAGATGACATTCACAGAAAGGTAATGCTGTCCTCAGCTTCACAGCTGAGTAAAACTCAGTTTCCTCCTCTGTACGTGACATCAGAACTGGTGCTTACTGGGGCAGTGCATTCACCAGTGAAAAGGGCTCAAAATAAAGCAGCTTCAGTTCAAGTTGAAACTTATAGTTTCAAGCAGGACAAGGCAGAAAGTTGAAAAAGTGAGCTCTGCCATGTCCTCTCTCCCCTGAGAGGAGGGATGTCTGCCCTGGTCCAGACATCCCACACTGCAGCAATGTCAGCATACTCTTACTGTAAACAGGGAGTCAAGTCCACTGGTATCGACAAGCCAGTGATTTTAGGCTTCTGCAACTTCGGCTCTAGATGGAGAGGGGTGAAAAATGAGGGCAGAGTCAGGCCCAATACATTTGCCCTGGCCGGAAGCAGAAACCACTCCTTCAGCATTTCGTTCAAGCTACACTGTAAAATCCTTCAGTGCAGCCTATTCCAAATGCGTAACACTGCAGAAATGAGACTGGGCATGCCTGCCAGGAGCCTTTTGGCGGATGCTCTCTCTCATTTACCAAGGCACTGCATCATCTCCTAGACTGAACCATGTTGTTGCCAATATTTACAGATTCACTGAGATGCGTCAAAGCGCCCCCAGCAGAGACACTGAACTGCACAGCCTGCCACTGAGAGATTTACTGTCTCTTCAGCATATCGGGGGGGACAGGCAGTCTACACACACGCACTCACACACACGCGCGCGCGCGTGCGTGTGCACAGCCCGAGGGAGGTAAGTCCAGCCCCCAACAGCGGGGCCATCCTTCTGCTGCTGGATTTTTCCAGCCGGAGCATCTTGCCGGCTCTGCTGTAATTTATGGAAATCGGTTTCTGACGTGGGGCTTTTTCTGTTAAGACAGGGACCCACCGACTGGAAGAGGCAGAGCTGCAGTCAGGGCAGGAGAAGAGGGGGAGAGGAAGAGGTGGGGAGCAGAGGGACACCGGCAGAGTGGAGAGGACAGAGGGAGAAAAAGGCACAGAGACACTTCAGAGATGGGTGATAACTAAGAGAGCAGGAAGAAAGGCAGAAAAGAGAGAGAAGGAGAGCTGTGGGGAAGGAAAAGGAAAAGAACCCAAAAAACGAGTCAGCCTCAAGAGAGCAAACACCAGGAGACGAGTGCAGGGAACCCCCCAGCATACCAAGAAGGACCTGTTCTGTCTGAATCTTCACCATGAGCACAAGGAAGAACTGCCCCCTGCCACTGGGGCAAGGAGACCGGGAGGAAAAGCAGAGTGAGGGTACTCCTGACCTGGAGCGACAGGAATGTGAGATGGAGCTGAGGAACAAAGCTATTCTGCAACAGAAGAGGCGCCTTAAACAGGCCACCCAGTTTGTGCACAAGGACTCTGCTGACCTGCTGCCCCTGGATGGCTTGACAAGGCTTGGCACCTCCAAGGATCTGGTGAGTCCAGTGGGACCCCATTTGGGAGGGGGTCCTCCTAACAGGCTCATCATAGTTGGGAACTGCTGCCAGGCTTTATGAAAGGGTCATGGGTTCAGCAGAGATGAAACTTCCCGTCAGCATCATCTAGGAGCAGGTCAGGCTGAGGGGAAAGAATGAATTGCTCATTTTTTTTGTATCCATCTTCCCATGCATCCCCATAGGGATCAAACTCCTCACAGAGGCAGGCAGACATGGACTGGAAGGACTTCCTGGGATCCAACTTTCCACTCACCCGGTACATACATTTGTTCATCTGACATGTATGTTTCCATGTGGGACATCTCTGAAAGCCCCCATGTATACCTGCATGATCCAGCTCAAAAGCACACTCCTTTCTGGACTCAGCAGGGAGGGAAGCACAGTTCATGAAACTCCAAGAAGCCTATGTTTGACCTTGTCACCTTTTTGCACTATTCTCTTTCCCCCCACTCTTTGGATTTCCGGAGGAGCAAGCACAGGGCAGGACTGCTAGCCAGGCACACGGGCAGCTGCAGTGGCCAGGACCCGTCGATAACACCTTTGGGGAGGAGGCACAGGAGTGAGGCCTGTGGGTGTCTCCTTGTGGAGATGTGGAGCAGGAGGCATCAGGGAGGGGATCTGTTCCAGGAGCCTGGGCAGTCTGTGGTCTGGGGGGACTTCCCCAAGGCAGGGAGCAGTTTCCCACGGGATCTCTTGCTGGCTTAACTGGACGCATCTCCCCCTTGCTCTGGCAGTTTTGCTGTCTAACTTCTCTCTGCTGTGGAGTTTAACTCCTGAAGGATGCAGAGGTCTAAACCATTTTCCCAAAAGAGGGCCTGGGTCTGGCCCATGATGTGGACACAACCATTTAGTCCAGCTGTGCCAGTGGGGGTCATAAAAGATCTTGCCCCTCCCTGCAGCCCATGCTTCCCTCTGTATCCTCAGACCAACACAGCAACACCATGGATGCTCATGTGTGTGTATCTCCTCTGGTTGTTTCCCGGCTCCTGTGGCAGGCCCCATGGCTGCCAGCAGTGAGGCGCCGCTGCACACAGGGGCACATGTGTGCAGGACAGACAGGGTCCCACATGTGCGGGACAGGCAGGGTCCCAGGCACTGGGCCTGAATGGAAGCTATCCCCTTGCTGAGACCTTCGGGTGCAGCGGCTCTGCCACACGTAGACGAGGGGTCAGTGCCATGTACCCATGCCGGCGCACCCTCCTGCTCCCACCACCCTCCCCGCAGCTGCCTCGGCTGCTGCTGAGAGCCCCTGGCTCAGCAGGGTCAAGGGTGGCTCCTCAAAGTCACCCTGAGCTGTCACGTCATGCTCTGCCAGACCTTCACAGCCACACACGGCTTTCAGCAGGGACTAGTCTTGAGCGTCCCTCTGGCACTGAACACAGTTGCTGTCTGAAGTACAAGAGGGGAGTCACGTAAATGTTGCGTTAGCAAGGCACAGGGCCTCTGCTCCCCGTGGGGAAGGAGGTCTGGCCACACTGGAGCCTGAAGGGCCCCGTTCAGGCTGGCAGCATGGGCAGACTAGCACTGGCCCTTCATGCCCTGCAGTGTTGCAGCTGAAACATCTCCTCAGGAGGGGATAGCCAGACATACCCCTGGGCTCTCCCTTGTACAGCTTTTGGCAGGGAATGAGGAGGAGCCACTTGTGAGTCTTTTAGTGCGTGTTTGCTGAGCCCAGCCACGAAGGCAGAGAGAAACATGTCTACCTGCTTTGCTTTGGAATTGACTCCTGTCAACACCATGCCCCAAAATGACAACTGTGGTGCCAGTCAGAGGCCTCTGTGAGAGTCCTACACAGTACGGGTGGCAGCCGTGGCCTCCAGAGGCTGGCACTCTGAAGCCCCAAATGCTTGCTTGAGTGAGACAGGCCTTGTCCGAATCGCTTACCACGAGCAGCTGTCCTGGTCAAATTAACCATGTTAGGCAGGAGACTTCCTCATATGCAGATGGCATTCGGTCACTCAAAACCACTGCATAGTTCATGTTTGGTCCATAACAGAATGGCCGAAACATTTTTACCATGGAGCTAGGGAGCAGTGAATAAAGCATAACATCTTTTCTGCCATGGAAATTTTGCACTGGTGTTAGAAGACACAAAATAAAGTGTGACACCTGTGCAAAGTTCGCACACGTAGTGCCATACCTGGGGTCAATGCGGTAGCTGCGGTACCTCCGTTTCTGGTTTACCTTGGAGCAAGAAAAGAACCAGGCCTTAGATTTCCAAAAGCAATTCAGCAGTCCCTGCAACTTGATGGGCCACTGTGATATCGCTGTGATGTTTTGGGGGCTGCAAATCAGAGTCCAAAATATGCTTTCAGGCGCTCCTCCAGCCCCATGCAAAACTCCATCTCTGTTTCCTAAATTGATCTATCTCCCTCCTGGAGGACAGGAATGCAGGGCTGAAAACAAAGCAGCAGCAGGAAGTGCTAGAGAGGTTGATCTTGGAGAGAGTGCAAAACACCCCAGAGTCCTGTAGCACTTACACTGGGAGGAGAGTTTAATTAATTCCCCAAAACATGTCTCTACTGACAGTGCCAGAGACTCCAGCTGTGGCAGCCCCACGTGACCTAAAATTAGAGCAAGGTCCCATGTCACTTAAAAAACCCTACATTTTCTTACACAGCCAAAGTCAGGTTGTTACTTTTTGCCACTCTTTCCTGTGTATTCTGAGTGTGCATTCAGCTTAGGCAATGCATCCAGCAGTGTCTGGGATTTGATGTGCCCATCACATCTCCAACAATGAGTAATTATACATTTCAGTGGAGACCTCACATTTCCAGCTTTATAACAACCACAAGCATGACACTTTTTTTTTTTAAATGGCAAAAAAAAAAAGTAGCTGCATGAGCTAAAATATTCTGAAAGTACCAAGAAGGTCTGAAGATCTGGCTTCTCCCCTCCCAAAAATCAAGATCCCCAGCTCATACCACTTCACTAATCATAGCAAGGCCTTGAGATTTCACATTGGAGAGCCTGAACCTGATAGGTTGCACTGGGAACCCGCTCTGACCCTTCTAAGAGTCCTGAGAGGGCCTCCCTTCCAGCTGCTGGCCACAACTCCCTTCAGGTCCTCCCTCACCATCCCCTTCATCTCATTGTTTCTTACCAGCGCAAGAGAGACAATGGTCTCCACTTCTCTGTCTCACTGGTGAGACAGAAGACAGGGAGGGCCCCAGGAGTCTCCTCTTGAATCAGATTCCTCCACAGTCCCAAAGCTCAGCTACTCCCCACCAGTGCTTGGCCTCTTCCCAGCCTGAGTGACAAGAAGGAGACAGAGGTGGCAGCTGCAAAGAGCCTGCTCTTTCTGTGGGAAAGGTTGCGGGGAGAGGGAAAGGTCCTTTGCATGCCAGATTGTGAGAGGAGACAGGAGGGAGGATGGGAATTTGGAGACCCCCTGTCGGTTCCCTGCCCTTTTCCCATGGCCCAGATGTTAGCTGGCAGCCAAACTGGCACTGTGCTCAGAGTATTTAGGGAGTGAAGTACAACAGCCAGCTGTACCATGGGCCTGCACAGTAGGCTGGGAAAAGATGGGGAACAGAGGGATATTTTTACCTCACTTTTTCAACTACTGCAGTGTCTCTCATGCAGCATGTGAATGATCTGACTCTTGTCCCTGGAGTGATGGGGAAAAAGAGGCATGAGGGACTCAGCACCTTGCAAAGAGCAATGCTGAGTGCAACCAAAGAGCCAGTAACAGCTCTCCCACTCCAACCATTGGGCAAAACTGACAAGTCAGTATGCTTCGAGTTGCAATTTACACACTGCCCCGGCCTCAGCCCTCTGACCAAACATAGAGCTAGTCTGAAGCACACACACCCTGTAGGGTTAATACAGCCAACTCATTGGCAGGTCTGGTCTAATTCAAATGTTTGGCCTGCACATTGATAAGATCCTACATAAAACTGCTGCACCATCTGAAAGTTGATTTTTTTGAGAAAGATAAAAGCAACAGTTTATGCTGTAGCACATTAGCCCCTTTAGATTCATTGCCTTTCTTCACATAGGTAGTTGTTACTGAGAACGTTATTGTCAGCTCTGAGCAGCCACTCTCCTGGAGAAGGGCCATGGGGCCAAGTACATGGAGAAAGGACAAAGCTACCTCCAACAGGCCTACTTCATTCATGCTGCCCATTGTTGATTCAGTAGCTGTGCAGGGACTGGAGGCACTAGATCAACATTGGGCAAAAACTAGAGCATCAAGCTGATGACAAAGGGAGCTTTCTTTCCAAAGCAACACTTTCCTGTATGTGTATGCAATGTTGGGATAAGAAGGTTTTCACGATTTTTCTTCCCTTTTGGTGCACCTCCCCTTCTTCCACCCAGAAGAAAGGAGATAGGAATACGAGATACATGAGATATGAATGAGATACATGAGATGATAGGAATAAAGTTCCTTCAGCCGTTGATCTGGCTGATGGCACTCCTTTCTAGCTGTGAACAACATAGGGCATCATAGATGCTCCCCCAACTAGGAAGGGAGTCAAAATAGTATCACTTCTCATGGAAGGGAGCAGAGACAGACTCCAAAGAACATTAGAAGCTAGTTTTAATTTCCTGTGCAGGGGAAGCTTCCCACTTCACTACAAATAATTGCTTGTACACCTAAAATTTCTGGAGTCCTGCCTTCTTACCCACATGTACATCACACACATGCTGCGTCCCCCATCACCTCCCACATTAGAAGTTGGGAATTTGCCTGGCTGGATGTCAGCACACACCCACCAGGTAGGGTATTGCAGTACCTGAACAGGTATGAGACTGCCGAGTGCATGTTTAGCTGAAGGAACAGGTATGTGTGGCAAGATCATGCATCAGATATGTTCTTCTCCTCCAACAATTGCATCCCAGAGACCTGCCTGTCACAGACAACCCAACACTTTAACATCACCTTAGTGGCTACAAAAAAAGCCTTGGGATTTAAAGAAAGTTTTTTGGGATAAGCCTGTCTTTCATCAGGATGATCAGTTGGGTCAAGCATTTGCAATCTGCTTCCCTGGTCTAGCAAATGTCCTTGTCCTTAGCTCCATACTTAGCTGGGATTTCTCTTTCTTTGTGATGGAGACAGCAGCCACATAGCGTGGTCCAGCGGCGCCTCTTGGAAGGCAATCTGAACAAGCTGCGGGGCGAGACCAGGGTTCAGTCTGCATGGGTTCAATCTCCGCTGGCAAAAGACCAGGATGAAAAGATGGAAAAGGGAGAGGACAGGAGAAAAGAGACTTCACCCCTGCTAATACAGTGCCAGGTAAGGCAACAACATGCTGCTGCTGCTTTCACAGTGATGGCAAATGCTCAATGAGTTCCAGCTGCCCCACTCCCAAGGGCCATGCTAAGTTATTAATTGCAAAGCCAGCTGCAGCCAGAGAGAGCAGATTTCCCACACGGCCTCTCCTAGAGTTTGGATTCAGTTCTTCCAACAGACAGAGGAAGGCCTTTCTGTCACATGCATTCTAGTTGTCCATATTTGAAGATAAATTACCTTAATCACATCTCCTTCCTTTGGAGGCCAGCTTTCCCATGATATGAGGTATTTCGTAACTGCACACAGAAGCAAGGAATGTCTCCTTATCACTTTAAGACAGGTGCCCCTAGTTGATTTACACTTACTAGATCCAGTCTGGTCTGATTCCCTCAGGTGTCAAAGGACATCCTAAGAAAGTGGCTAACTGTGCTCTGAATTAGCACTGTTGCATTTCTTGATAGAAGCAGTATCTTTAGCTGCCTTTTCTTCTTATATCCTCTGATACAGCAGAACACACTCCTCCCTGGCCCCTGTAGGTAAGAAAGCACATCCAAAAGCTATGCCCCATGAAAGAGGGCTGCATGGTTAGAGCTGTTCAGTAATATGCAGATATGACACTCACCAAGATATAGACCTGGTATAAAAAATCCATTTTAAAACTGTGTTTATTTCAGTTACCTGTCCTAAAGAACATCTCACATGTTAGAGTGTAAAGTCTACACTTCCAGGAAAAACACATATACCTTTGAAAATTCAGTTGTCACCATTAATTATCACATTGTTCTGGTTTTGGCTGGGACAGAGTTAATTTTCTTCATAGTAGCTCATATGGGGCTATGTTTTGGATTTGTGCTGGAAACAGTGTTGATAATACAGGGATGTATTAGTTATTGCTGAGCAGCGCTTACACAGAGTCAAGGCCTCTTCTGCTTCTCACCCCACCCCACCAGTGAGTAGGCTGAGGGTGCACAAGAAGTTGGGAGGGGACACAGCTGGGACAGCTGACCCCAACTGATCAAAGGGATATTCCACACCTTATAGAGTCACGCTCAGCAACTAAAAGCTGGGGGAAGAGGAAGGAAGGGGGGGATGTTCGGAGTGATGGCGTTTGTCTTCCCAAGTCACTGTTACACATGATGGAGCTCTGCTTCCCTGGAGATGGCTGAACACCTGCCTGCCGATGGGAAGCAGTGAATGAATTCCTTGTTTTGCTTTGCTTGCGTGCGCGGCTTTTGCTTTACCTATTAAACTGTCTTTATCTCAACCCACGAGTTTTCTCACTTTTACCCTTCCGATTCTCTCCCCCATCCCACGGGGGGGGAGTGAGCGAGCGGCTGTGTGGGGCTGGCTGGGGTTAAACCACAACACACATGAACACAGCCTCGTAGCAAGGTTCTGAAATGTTCAGATCGGGTGTCTCAGGACCATGCAAAGCCACTGTCTGGTTTGTTTTCCATCCTTCACTGTTGCAGTTAGTCATTGCTTGCTCTGGGTTTTAGACTTCGATGCAGCTATGTTAACATAACCACACTTGGGAAAACAGACTAGTAGGATGAATGACTCTCAGTGTAATTTCTCCAAACAGCTGGAGTCTTTTTTTGAGCAAATGAAGGTGTTTCTTTTTCTTTAATCACCGCTCTGTATTGTTCTGTAAGAGGAAACTCAATGATAAAGGGTGTTTTTTTGCCAGGCATGTACATCGAACAAGGACAGGCATGCATAGGTATCATATCCCAGGGGCAGTAGCTAACTCAGCATCAGAGTCCACTACTCGTTCCCCTTTTGTGTTTCTAATGGACTGTATCCCAGCTGTCACACACATTACATTTTCCTTCATGGAGGAAGATTAATGAACATCACAGTCAAGAAAATAGGTCTAGTGCTGCGCTTAACTCTTCCTGAACTTGATACCTTCTGCACAGGCATTTCTCTCTTTTTCTGTCCTTCTTAAGAGCCAGTCACTGTTTGTCACACTTAATCTTCTTACATTGAAGGAAGGGAAGCTCTCCTTCCCTTCTTTTTAGGCTTGCTGCTTTTCATGTTCACATTTGTGAACTTCAAAAAGCCTCGCCTGTAAGTAACAGATCTATGGCAGGAAATAGCACTCAGGCTGCCAGTTCATTTTAACCAGAGAGGTGAGCTGGTACCTTTTGGAGAGCTGCTTGACTATGGTGTAGTTTTTATTAGAAATGGAACACGACCCCAGTGAAGTCTCTTCTGTCTGACAGCAGCTCCCGAGAAAAGATCATCTACCAGCATAAAGTTTCCATTTACACTCAGGCAAGTATGCTGAAAATTTCGAAGTGGTAACAAATGCATCACCTGACTAGTAACTGAACTTGACTAGGAAATAAAGCTGAATATATGTAGACTTCAGTGATACAGGGAGATTCAGGCAATAAGTGTTTTCACTCTAACTGGTTATAGTTGCCCTGTGCCTTAGGCCTTTTTAAGTTTCAGAGATCACAGACAGACCCAGTCTACAATAGTTGTACTGCAGAGTCACTCACCCTCCTATTTACTTAGGTGGGTTGCTCACATGGTACTTCAGCAGAATTGCCCCTTTTTGTGGCAGTTTTTGCAAAGCACTTTGGAAAGCTTGCCATAACTGGCATCTGCATCGTAAAATCAAGCTGTTGTTTTTTGTGGTGAGGCTTGTCTCTTGTTCACTTGGAAATAGATGCTGAAAGATTCCACTGCTGTCCAAGTCTGCTTTTCCTCTGTGTCAAAGCAACCTGGGATTAATCAACCTTCGTTGGTTAAAGCAACTTCTTGACTTTGGAACTGACATTATTTCAGAAAACAAAGCTCTTTATAAATGGTAATCCCTGCTGATTCCCCTCCCCTCTTTCTCTTTCATGGAAATCCCCATAATTTGCCTTTAGGTGAAGACTAATGGTGACTGGTAGTAACAGACTGAAAATTCTGAGGCAGAGATGAGAGCGGGTAATGTGATGAAAAGTCCTCTTAGTCCAAGAAGTCTTGCAGTGTACTCCTTACCTAATCTGCATTATATTTGTGGTATGCTGGACCAAGGACTCTCCTCAGGCTCCTGGTGAGTTCTCTGGGCAAATAGTAGTATAATTGGAAGTTGGATAGCTTTTGTGAGGCTGCTGGAGCTGATAAGTGTGCAGGGCTGTTTACCACTGAATGAGATTAAATGTTTTCTACAGAATAATCACTGTCCTGTTATATCCTAGCAAGTTTCTAACTAGCAACTTTCCCATCTTGCTCTGAAACAAAACTCAAGAATCTGCCTAGCGATACAGTTTAGGTTTACTATCACAACAGTGCTAACAGTTCATGCATCTCAGGTCTGCCTGCTCCCAAAGTGATTCCTTAGCAATTGCTATCCATACTCCAGGTCTTCTGTTTCTGAAGAGCTGATAGAATGCCTGTGAATGAGGAAGAGCTGATTCAGCTGGACAGTTGGCAGGTTGCAGTCTGGGCAGATGTGGTAGCATACCTGACCTGACACTCATGGCTAATATACCTGCTTAGGTAGCGAGGAGGCACAGGGAAGCCTCTTCTATGAAGCACAGTACAGAGGATGAAGAGGGAGATGCTTAGCATGTATCTGCACTTTGTGCTTTATTTTGCCTCTTGCCTTGTGGCCTTGCTTAGTCTGGCCAAAATCCTTCCAGGCAGGGCTGATGTGTCAGTGAAGACCAGACAGCACAGACATTACAGAGCTTTAAAAGCAGAAGGAGAGGCATTTTGTCATAGAATCATAGAATGGTTTGGGTTGGAACGGATCTTAAAGATCATCTAGTTCCAACCCCCCCTGCCATGGGTAGGGATAAAGGACTGTCATCTGGGTTCAGTCAATTTCCAGGCTGTTTTCTCTCTAGAAGCCTGGACTTAGTAATACCAGCTTTTGTCACAAACAGCTGTTGTCATGAGGTAAGGTGGGATCTCTTCAGTTGGCCTTGGGGACCTCTATGGGCAGGCACTACTTCTAGTCCTGAATGTTTAAACTTGACATGCCAGGCAGCCTGGAGCCATGGCGGCAATGGTTTTTCTTGAACAAGCAGAAGTATTGCCAAAGTCAGGAGCTTCTAAATAGAGTGCTTTGCAGCTCTTCCCCTTCTGTGAGGCGTTAGCATGCTCCCCCACTTGCTTAGAGCAGATTTGTGCCAAGAGGCAGGAGGCATACATGAACGAAGGGCAAGAGAACTGGTGTGCATTCCGGGAACAGGCAGCAGCTCAGGTGGATCTCCTACCAGCTCTGTCATGTGTGATCAGTATTACCATGGGACGGTAGTTCAAGCTGCTCCGAAGTAAAATGGGACTGCTCATTTGTGAAGGAGCTGGGGGAATATTCCTGTATGAATGTGCAAAGAACTGCAAGAGAGAGCTTCTGGGGGCTGGTTTCTCTGTGAGACTCTCATGAATCTTCCAGCTGGTATCAGGTCGGTTAAGTTTTGTGTTCTCCCAACCTGTGACTTTGTAGTTCTGTGGCAATTTCCACAACATGTGCCAAAGAGCAGCCTTGGATTGAATGTAGTTGCCAGTGTGGCTGAGACTGTGAGAAGCACATGATATAATGGGGAAGGCACAGTGCTGGCAGCCAGAAGTTTGTGAGGTCTGTCTTGGCTTTGGCTTTCCTAAAGTATTTAGCATTATATGCCTCACTTGGGTGTTGTAAGAAGTCACAACTGTTTGCAGTCACACGGGACTGTTAATTAACTGGACATAATTCTTTATGAATAAGACATGCTTTTTTACATTAAAGAAGAAAAAGTATAATAACCAAATCAGGAGCTGTTGAAAATATGCACCTGTGCATATTTTCTGTATAGATACTGCTTGAGCACTGCTCTCCTTGTTCCTGGATGAGGCCGCACATGGTGAATGCTCATCCTTCTAAAACTACTGATGTTATTTAAATATACATCATATATACATATATGAGTCTTACATGATTCTTGATGAACTCTGTAAAACAAAATAGGTTGAGATCTCTAGCTCCAGTGGTCTTGCAGTTCTTGAGAATTGCTCAACTAAATGGCCATTCTGGTAATATGGTGTATCTAAATGTTCAGAATGATGAAATTCTCTAGACTGATGTACTGCAGATGCAGTTTAGACCAGAGGAAGAGCTCCAAGACAAAACAGACTTGAAGTTTCCAGCATGCACTCTCTGAGGTTGCCTTGAGTGCAATTAGCACTCAAGCTACTATTGGTGTTGTGTCTGTTTGCAGCATTCCAGTATTTCTCACAGGAGTTGTTTTCTCCTTTCTCTTTATAATAACTCACAAATAGCGCATGTTTGAAAATGAAATCTTGGAAATACTGGATGTAGCTTCTCTGTGATGATTAACCCATGTAATAATCATAAACAGATTTAGTTAAGAAATCAGGAAATTGAGACATTTTTCTTGACCCTACTGGTGCTGCACTGAGTCCCTGATGGTCATGCTGATCTGCTTAAGGTGTTCAAAGCATTTAAGCTCATCAGGAATGAGCATAAGGATAGAGGAGCGGTGGGAGGTCTGTTGCTGCTTCTGAGCAGCTCATGGCACTGAGTGCCATAGTGGGTGAAAGAGAAGGAATCATAGGAAAAATACAAATGATAGCAGGAGAAAAATGAGCCTCCCAAGAGGGAAACTTTGTAGTTGGGTTTTCTTTGGGTGTTGGTGCAAGACAGAGCCTTGAAGAACTAGGCTGTCAAGAATGGGTATGGTTAGGCACCATGTATGTATGTAGGTGCAAGCCATATTTTGTAGATGGCAGTTACTCCATCTTTTCCAGTTCTTTTACTAAGTCCTGCTCCTCCTTTTTTTCCTGAACATAAGTCTTACTGATGTCCTTGACAACCCTATTTTTTCAGACCTCTACCATATATGAGACCTGCTGTTACTTCAGCACCTCTGTGCAGAGGGGACAGAAAACAGATGGCAACCACATCTCCTGTTCCCTTTCAAGTGCAAAGGGGTGAAGAAATGAAGTGGGCAAGGCACTGGGGATTGTTCCAGTATGATCATGCAGAGGTGACTTGGGTGCAGAGCATCCAGTCTCTCCCTTTGCTTGATGACACCAGCTGTGAATATTGTAGTTGTAGTGTTCATATCATATTTCCTTAAAGAGCTGTCTAGAAACTTAATGCAAGCCCCACACAAAATAGACACCTCTTGATTAGGTTGTTTCTTGGATTTAAGAGTCACTTGGATGTGTCAGTTATCTTGGGAACTGCCTTAAATTCAAGCTCTTCTCAGGGAAGCTTGTCCTGGGTGCTCCTGCTTCACCCACAGACTTCTCCCTCTGGAAGCTGTTCAACTGAGAACAGGCGTCTAGCCCTGGAACATTGTTCCCTGTGACACCAGAAGAAATGGAGAGAGGAAACCTACAAAGGCTGTAGCACATGCTTATATTACTTTAGAAGCTTTTGTCATATCAATTATTGCTCTGCTAATAAAGTCCATGTGGGTTTTCTGAAAAAATTCACTAGTTATGCATCTTTTGAGTGGAATACTGCTAAGTTAAAGTTGCTAATAACAGAGAAGTGTCTGGGCAATCAAACACAACTTAAAGAAGACAAATTCAAAAAGAAGCCTTTGGCAGAGGTTTGCAGAGCACTGGGGAGACCACCATTGTCTTGGATGAGTCTCCTGCCTTCTGACTACTGCCTAAAACACCACATCTTTGGCTGCGTTGCTAAGGAAGGTCTAAGGGATTGTCACACTGTTGGAGGAGTGGGTATGCCGATTTTGAGCCCACAGTAATTATCTGTTATTGTTTTTTCTAGTGCCAAGGTCAGGTATTGAAAGCGACTGTTAACACTGGGTGTCTACCAAATCTCATCTCCAAGAGCTGTTTAAACCAGCTGGGGTAAGTCTTTGCACAGTAGAAAAGGAGGGGTGGCTAAAAGAAAACCTATGACAAGAACATAGGCACTCTTGACTCCCAGCCCCAGTGATAATTACTAGCAGCTTTGTATGTGCACATGGCTGTTTAGGAGAAGATGCAGAGGGTGGGCTACAGGGCAAGGCATCAGAAGCACTGGCAAAGTTCTGTGCAGACCCCAGACTAGGAGGCAGAGCTATGTCATTCTGTCTGTGTGTACTGCAGGGCAAAGCTGCCCAGCTGATGGTTAGCCTCAGCGGTGAGGACAGCGCCTTATGGTTTTGCTTGTGGAATCTGCCTCCAGACATGCTGTATGAAAGAGTTCCTTCCTCTTGTGGGCCTGTTCCCAATGAGACCAAGAAGTACTGCCATCAGTGAGAAGTTCTGTTTTTTCTCCCCTTCCCCCACTTGAGGCAATAACACATCTTGTGTCCCACAGGCTGGAAGAAGTGTCTGCCATGGACTGTGGAGACCTCTCTCTTCCCATCCCCAGCGTTGTTGGCCGAGTAGAACATATGGAGTTGCAATTTGGCCAGGAGACAGTGCTGTGTTCAGCACTGGTTGTAGGTGAGAGTGCCAGCCCCTCCTTCCCCCCAGTTTTCCTGTGTCCCTCTTGCCCTGCCAAGGGCATTTAAAAGGATCTCTGGGAAAAAAGTAATGCGGTGGGAGGTTGGTGACGTGGTCCCCTCCACTGCTGGCCAAGATCATTATGCACTGTGAATACCCTCAATGTAACCAAAGGCAAAGGGCACAGGAAGAGTACAGAGAAGACAGAAGACATTGAAAGTGGGGAGAAATGAGGTACTTTTTGGTCTTTCCACATCTTTGGATGTGGAAAATTCTCATTTCCTTCTAAAATGGACCTTTCTTAAAATTATCCAGGTTGCTTGATTAGTCCTCTGGTGCCCTATGTTCTCCTATTGAATGAGCACTTGTGTCTTTGGCTGGATGGAAGTCATCAGAGAAACTGACAGAGGGTACAGCTTATTCTCCAGCGTGTTTCTCTGTGTACTCATCTGCCTCTGCTGCAGGGAGCACCCTGGAAGAACCTGGTAGCCCCAGAGTGCTGAGTCTCCCTCGGTGTCCTCAGGCAGGACCCTTTGAAGGAAGGAGCCATAGGAGACAAGGTCAAGTCAGCAGGCACTGGAGCACACCCAGAAAACAGCAGAAAGGCTGTTTTCTCCTCCTCTCTCTCCATGTTCTGCATTTACATCAAGCTGTGCATATGCTGAAAATAACTTGGTCGTCTTTTTTTTCCCTGTTCTTTCTCCCTATTAGTCTTCCAGCTTTACCCTCTTGCCTTTATCTGTCTCCTCATCTTTGATGATTACTATTCATCTTCCAAGGCCTCCCTTGCTCCCTCTTTTCATGTCCATTTTTCCCACTTTCCTAGTCATCTAGAAAGAGCTTCCTCCTCTTCCACACTCCAGCTCATTCTTCCTCCCTGGTTTCCCCTCTACTTGTTCTTGCCCTTCATGGGGAGACTGTATTAGTACCAGCACAGGTGAATTTAGCCCAGTAGCAGCTATCCATTTTGCTGGGATGTAGAAATGGCTGCCTGGAAGGAGCAGAATTGCTACATCTATGCCTTACATCTCCCTGTGCACGCACTGCTCTTGCTTATGTGGTTACATATAAATTATAAAATACAGCCACTGGTTACAGGGCAAGCAGACATCCAGGAGACATGGGAAGTATTAATGATGTTACCGGTAGCTGCTGAATCCTGCAGACTCCAGGAACTGGGAATTCCTCCTTCCCTGCCACTGAAGTCCAAATGGATGACTCTAAGACCCAGGAGGTCACTCTTGCCCAGTCCAATGCATGTTCTTAGTGGCAGGTTCAGACAGTAGCAAGGCTGAACGTATATTCCAGAGAGGCACATACGGAGAGGACACAGACAAGGCCAGCCACACAGGTTACCACACACAAAGCAGTGCCTTTACCAGCACTGGTAGCCCAGTCCTGGTCCTCCTCTCTGGCTGACCAGGAATGAAGTTCACTAGCAGAAGCTCATACATCCTCAGGCTCTAGATTCATAAGCACACTCATATTCACAGAATCTTCAAATATCAGCACAGCTTCTAGGTCTGTCTTATATCCATTTCTGGACCCTGGGCCCCTTACCTAGCCACGGACCCAGACCTTGAGTCTTCCCAGATGCAGGTTTCCTCCTACTCACTGGCTAGACCAGATTGAAGTTTGCTAGCTAATTATGTATACAAAACCACAAGCATATAGGATTAAATTCACTGGGGAAATATAGACACACCCAAGTCTTTCTAGTTAGTGGCATTTAGACCTCACCCATATGCCCTGTCCTCTTCAGCTGCTGGCTTGTAAACCTAAGGCCCCTGTGACCCTGGTCAGAGCTAGTACCCAGATCTCCCTTGCATGCTGATCTCTCCAGTTGCTGGCACCTAGACCTACAAGCTCTGTGACCTATAGTCCTTCTCCAATTACTGGAACTTAGACCTTGCAGCACACATTGTGGTCCCTCCAGTTGCTGGCACTCAGGTGTATAAGCCCTATGGCCTGTGCTCCCTTCCCTAGCTACGGGCACCCAGAGTTGTCTTGCACACTGGTCTCTCTAGTTGCTGGCACCTGTGAGCTACGTCCCCTTCTCCAGTTGCTGACACAGACCTATGAGCCCTATGGCCTGTGGTCCCTTCAGTTACTGGCACCTCTCTTGTATGCCAGTCCCTCCAGTTGCTGACATCTAGAGCTATTTGCCCTTTAACCTGTGGCATCTTCTACACTTGCTGACACTTAAGACCTGCAGCAGTCACATGTAGGATAGAGAGGTTACACAGAAAAAAAATTACTTAATAAAATTATTTAATAAGAAGATCGGCTAGATTGTGGCCATCAGGTGCAGGGTTTGCTAAGACAAGTGAACTGACCAACAGCCCGCTTGCATGTGACTGGCCCCCTTATCCCCCATCCTCTCCATTTTTCCATGCTTGTTCTTCTCTGATCCACCCTGCTGCTTGCCTTCTCCTGCCTTTGGCCCTTTCCCTACACAGCCCGTAGTAAGTTTTACATGATCCCACAAGCCCCTTCTGATATCTCATAGTAAGTTTCAAACAATCCCACAAACCCCCTCAAATATCTCATAATACTCATGATAATCATGTTTTCCTCCTCTTACCAGCTACAAAGTTCATTTTGGCCCTCTTCAGGGCTGTGCCTAAGTAGCTCCTTTAATGGCTCATCAGTCAGTGGCAGAAGAGTGCTGGTCTTTGTTATTGTCACTGTTACCACCTGCTTGTTAATGTTTGTGTGTTTAGTTCATCACTTTCCTTGTTATTTGTTATTTACTTTATACTGAATTGACCATAACCACATAACTTTATGAACCAGATACTCTCATATTCCACACCCTCTTATAGGAGAGACACACTTTCTTTAGAGGGGCCATATATACAGTCTTGAGCCTGATCAGTCTCTTCTCTCTTCTCAGATGATGAAATGCTGGAGTTTTGCATTGGTCTCCAGACTCTGTTGTCTCTCAAGGTAAGGAACAGCTTCTTGCTTATTGCAGGGCTCGTCTCAACAAGTTCTCCAAGATTTGGTTGCTGGAAGCATCAGAAATATTTATGGCCAGGTCTTCCAGGGTGCCACTTGCAATGCTTGTTGCACAGCTGCTTAGCTGGCTGCAGTATGCTCTGAGTCATTGATTCCTTTCTAGTCCTTCTTAAAGGTTTTAAGGAAGGAATCACTTGATAGGATACTATCACATCTCCCATTCTTTGTATTCCTGACCTTATGAGTTGTAAACAGGAAGAGGAAACTGAAGAGGAGACTAGAAAAGGCAAGGCACACTGTGTCACGAGTTATATCTGTGTTGCCTTTTGAAGGCAGATGTGAACAAGCTCTGCCCTTGCTTTGAGCCAAATGAAGCTGTATGATCACATTCAGTGTCCAACATTAGCTGGACACAGGTGGAAAGAGTCCTCTCCTTTTGTCAGCTCTGCTGAGCCTGGCTCCTGGGCGGCTCAGAATATGGCTGCAGCAAGCTTGCTCCTGCCTGTCAAGTATTTGTAGCCACATCAGACTCATAAAGCAGGAAAAGCATTGTGCTGAATGGCTGAGTGATGTGAGGACATCACCTCAGAGGGAGTCATAGGAAGAAGGGAGGGGAATGGCCCTGTGAAGGGTCTGGAAAGGAATCCATTGAAGGGAACAGGAGCAAGGAGGCAGCATGGGGAACAGGGAGGGGAACTCTAAGGTCTCTACAAACCCAAAGTGGGGTTGTTTGATGGTTATACAGGTTTTCCCCAGTCATAGACATCATGAGATTTGCTATCTGAAATGTCCAGAAAGTAACTGGCTCTCCCCTTCTTTAGTGTTGCATCGACTTGGAGGAAGGAGTCCTGAGATTTAAAGCACTGAGTCAAGAGCTGCCTTTTCTACATGCCTCTGAAGAGCCTGGTCAGTGACTGGCTGCATTCCCCATGTCTGGGGCTGAGGAGACTTGCTGCCATGAGAGAGAGATGAGGGTGAGGCTCACATGCCCCTAACCTTGCTGAGTTCTAGGCTGAGGCATTCACTGGGAATTGATAATAAGGCAAATGGGTGCTGGAAGCTGTTGTTGCTGGGAGTGCCTCATCTTAAGAAATACCACTCCTTTCAGTGGACCCTCTTCCTCATCCCCATGTGCCGAGTGGGCATTTTGTTCTTGTTTTTCTATCTGTCCCTAGTCACTCCAATTTCTGCTTCTGTACTAAATTCACTCTACCCTTTTAATGATTTATTTTTACAATACTCTCTGCTCCTGAGACAAGAGAGTATCTGTGAACAATCTCCAGTTGTTCTGTGGACAGGAGGATGGCGCTTTCTCCAAAAGCCTCCAAAGATTGCCATGAATGTTCCCCTTCTCTTTGCCTTAATGTGAGTGGACTCCACTCCCCTTTCTTTGTGAGAAGGGCTCTGTGGCCAGTCCCCTCACCTGTACTCTGAGAAGCTGGATTTTGTTACTTTTTGCTGGCTCAGAGCAGAACAGAAGTATTTTCTTGGAAAAACCTTGCAGCAAGAACACTTTTAGAGTTCTTAATTCTAAGAAACATTTGCAGAAATGCTGAGTGTAGATGCCTAGAGTACAGTGGACACTCACAGGGGCTTGTGCTTTGCCACTGCATCCTTGGCCACTAAGCTGTATTATATGAATGGCAATGCTTATCATCTCTTGGTGTGATACGTAGTAATCAGACTTGCACACCCTGTTCTTCTGACCAGGCCTCTCCTCTCTGCACTCCAGCTGCTAGAGCTACATTCCTATCACCTCTGCTGCATCATCAGAGATCCTGCCACTCAGTTTAAATGCTGCGATGAATTACAGCGCCCAGAGTCTTCTGCTCTGTCAGCTCCTTTCTTTCAGCTTGAAATCTAGTGATTGGACACAGACACATCATCAGCCTCAAGTCCCAGCATCTCACAGCCCATCAACTTTGCTACTCCTGCATGAAACAAGAACTAGACTTCCTTGCAGTATCAGCTCAGGTCAGAGAACTGTGAACTCATCTGGGATGACCAGGGTGATTATTAAGTCACTTAATTGTTGGGGTTTTTTAATTTTATTTTTAAAAAATTTTTTTAATTTTTTAACAGAGCATAGCTGTATGATAAATACATAGCCTATTCTTTATTAGCTCTAGGAAAGATGCACCAGATCAGGGCTTGTTCTATGTCTCATGACTACCGATTCACTACCCAAACTCTGCACAATATCCCTTTGTCCACCCTTAGAATGTCATGACATCCACATTTTGCCTATCTTCCTGGATTAAATACCGCTGGCTGTCTTCTTTTTTTATCAAACTGCGCATTGTTTCTGTTGTGCTTCTCGAAGAACTTGTGTATGCATTTTTGCTTTTTTCTGTTAGTTCTTTCCTAAATCAGATGCAGTATTCTGTAGTTTAACACATGCTAAGGACAGCAGAGTTACAGCCTGGCTGATATGATCTGTGATGCACTTACTAGTGTTAGTTGGTGTGACTGGCATCTGCTCCTTCTACAAGCTGCATCAAGCTAGTGACTTTTATTGTTAGTCATCATATCTTGCAGCTTCTTTGCCGTTCTATTTGTGCATCTGATTATTTCTGGCTGCATGAACTGCTTTCCATGAATGTCCTGAATGCCACCAACAGTTCTCTCATTTACGTCAAGACCCATGTCTACTTGATGAGCCTGTCTTCCAAAGTACCAGTAATTCCTCCTGGATTTGTATCACTTACATGTCTGACTGGGTTCTCAAACCCAGGGGTCTTTAATGACATTTCAGACTTGTATTAAACCATCCTGTGTGTCAGCTGGAATCTCTGTGGTACCTGGGTCAACTCTACTCAAAAAATCTTGTTTGTGAGAGATGAAACACCTGTTCCTATGTGCAGCAACTCACCTAGCTTCCAACCGCCGTTGCCCTCTAAAAATGGCATGTGGAACAATGGCAAAAAATCTGCTAAAGCTGACAGATACTATGTCCATTACATCTCTTACTATTCATTAACTTTTATGATCTATTTTAAAAAAAAATGCGAACCCTAAACCCTAACCCTAAACATTAAAGCTAACTCTAGCCCTAACACAAACACTAAACCCTAACCCTAAACTTGACCCTAAATCTAACCCCAAAAAGTAACCCTAACCCTAAATCCTAACCCTAAATTTAAACCCTAAAACCCCTAACCCCTAAACCTAACCCTAACCCTTAATGCTAACCCTAACCCCGACCCTAACCCCTAATCCTAAACCCTAGCCCCTAACCCTAAACCCTAACCCTAAACATAACCCCCTAAATCTAACCCAACTCTAACCACCTAACCCTAACCCCAAACTGTAAACCTAATCCTAAACATAACGCTAACTATAAACCCTAACCCCAAAACCTAACCCTAATACCCAACCCTAACCCTAAACTCTAACTCCTAACCCAAACTCTATACCTAAACCTAACCCTAACCACTAAACCTTAACATGAAGCCTAACCCTGACCCTAACCCCTAGCCCCTAACCCTGAAAGTTAACCATAAACCTAACCCCCTAAAACCTAACCCCCTTACCCCCAAACTCTAACCTCGTAACCATAACCCTATTCTCAAATCCTAACCCTAATGATAACTCTAACTCCTAACCCTAAACCCTAACACTATCCCTACCCCTAACCCTAATGCTAACCCTATCACTACCCCTAACCCCAAACCTAAAACATCTAACCCTACCCCTAGGCCTAACCCATAAACTCTAACCCTAACCCCTAGCCTTAAATGCTAACCCTAAACCCTAATCCTAACTCTAATCCCTAACCCTAAGCATAACCGTTAAGCCTAACCCTAACCCCCTAACCGAAAAACCCTAATCCTAACCCAAACCCCCTATCCATATCCCGATCTCAAACCCTTAAACCTAACCCCTCTAACCATATCCCTCACCCCTAACAGAACCCCTAAACCTAACTCCTAACCCCAAACCTAAACTAAACCTAACCCTAACCCGTAACATAAAAACTAACCACAAAACCTAACCCTAACACTAAACATTAATGCTAATCCTAACCCCTAACCCTGACCATAACCATTAATCCTAACCCCTGGCCCCTAACCCTAAACCCCAACCCTAACAGTAACTCCCTAAATCTAACCACCTAACTCTAACCCACTTATTCTAACCCCCTAAACCTAATTCTAAAACCTAACCCTAATCCTAAACCTAACCTTAACTCTAACTCCTAATACTAAACCCTAACCATATCCCCAACCCTAACCCTATCACTAACCCCTAACTCTAACCCCTGAACAGTAACCCTAACCTTAACCCTATCCCTAACACTAACCCTAGCCCTAACCCTAACCTTAACCCTAAGCCATAACCCCTGACTCTAACCCTAACTCCTAATCCTAACCCCTAGCCCCTAATCCTAACCCCTAAACCTAAACCCTAGTCCTAAACCTAAGCTGCTGAATGTAAGCCCCTAACTCTAACACCCTAACCCCAAAACCTAACCCTAATCCTAAAACTAATGCTAACTCTAATCCCTAACCCTTGACCCTATCCCTAACCCCCTAATTCTAACCCTAACCTCTAACCCTATCTCTAACTCCTTACCCTAACGGCCCTAACCGTAACCCTTATCCTATCCCATACCCCTAACCCTATCTCGTACCCTAACACTAACATTCCAGAGATCTGACGGCTTTTGCCAGTGCCCACAAAGGGCCCTGCTTCCCTCCAGGGTGCCCTAGGGCTTTTGCCGGGTTTTGCTTTGGTCTGCAAGGGGCCCTGCTGCCTTCCAGAGTGCCCCTGGGGCTTTTGCAAGGCTTTGCAACGTCCACAAGGGGCCCTGCTTCCCTCCAGAGCACCCCAGGGCTTTTGCCGGGCTTTGCTGATGCCCAGGCAGGTCTCCACTGCCTTCCAGAGTGTCTGACAGCTTTTGCCAGGCTCTGCTGGTGCCCACAAGTGGCTGCCAAGGGAAGGTGAGGGCCACTAACAGCTTTCAGTCCTGGCCACTTCTGTGTGGTAGCCCTAGGTGGTGGGTGTGCATTTTGGAGCTGGGCTCTGGTGAGGATGAGGGGGTAGGTGAGGGTTACGTGGTAGAGCAAGCTCAGAGCCCCAGTGTTGGTGGGGCTGTGAAGGGGCTGCCAAGGGAAGGGGAGGGCCACCAACAGCTTTCAGTCCTGGCCACTTCTGTGTGAAAGCCATGCCTGGCGGGTGTCCCATTTTGGAGCTGGACTCTGCTAGGGTGAGGGTGTAGGTGAGTAGGAGTCTTCCCAAACTCAGACTGAAGCCAACAGGAATCTTTCCAATGATTTAAAGGGTGCTGGATGGGATCCTACAGAAAATTGGCACAACTTTGAGTTGACAATTCTATTTTGACTAGTGCCTGTCATTTACAGCCCTGCAGATACTTGCACACTAGCTGCTGTTGGAATCCACTAAGTGCTGTTCTTACATGTCAGTCTTGGGATAACTCTGCTTTTGCTCACCTCCAGAACATCCTCCAGTCCTTCTGAAGCCTTTCTGTGATTCACATGCCTCATTTCTCAAATCACCAATAGTTCAGGTTCCTCTGCGAATTAACATGCTACAGTAGGTGACAATCACAAGCGCTGTCCGTCCCTCTCTGCATAACGAATCCTTCTTTGCATGCTCCTTACCTTCCCCCAAGCAAATAATTCATTCTTCCACACTGGCAGGTGACAAATTTGCTTCTTCCAAAAGGAATTCTTGCCTTCTTAGATAATCCTTTTAACACTTTCCTGTACCCTGGTTGCTAATACTCTTCTCGCGTTATGCCACCATCCTGCCAGCCTTTCCTCTTTGTTCTTAACAACTGCATGTATAAATGTAGACTGTGCCACTTGTCAGTCATAGAGAGGATGTTTCCAAGCAAGCGCTAAATTAGCATGTGAGAGCTCTTCTTTTCAGCTGTGAAATCAGTGCCAGAGCAGAAGACATGCTTTTCACCTTCCTCCTGGTCCATGTCAGTTGAACATGCAGGTCCACACAGTAAAGGTCTCTTCCACCCAGACACTGAGGAAGCTGTTGCCAACAGTTATCCTGGAACCTCCCCATCAAGCTTTGTTGCAGGCAGAGCTTACAGAAAAAAACATTTACATGATTAAATGAGTACTGCAGGTCATAACACCATGGCTGACACCTCACGTCAACTCATTCCCTACATCACAGTCTAATCCTACAGTGTCAGTACCCGGTTTCCTCGTTGTCAAACAGAACTGCTGGTGGGTTGCCATCTCCCAGAGTTCCTCGGCATTAAATGACATGTTGTTACTGACCTTAACGCATGTATTCTGAATTCTTGCCCAAACTGGTGTTTTCTCCAAAAACCAGCATTTTTGTGTCATTACATGGGAATCCCAGCTTCCATTGTGAAAGACAGAAATCTTAGCTTTAAAAGATGTGATTATAAAACACGACTTAACATCTCAAAGAAGCAACCTTAACCCCATCTACAAACATAGTAATTTTTAAAAGTCTTCCTATGTTAGGGAGCCCAATAAGTAATTTTTAAGTGGGTTGGCAAGGCTGAAGTCTGGCTCAATTGTAGTTTCTTTTGGAAAAGCCTATTATACAGATACACTTCCCTACCCCCATTTCAGTCATCTCTATTGCTTTTGTGGGACACGGGGAAGGAAGGAGCTATCTAAAGGTCTTTTCTACTGGAGATCAAAGAATGCCAATGCTTTCATATGGAAACTATGTATAGAAATTTAGTACAAACTGCCACCTCAGAGCAGGGCATAGGCACATCCTGTACGTGTCCAACACTGGCTTCCTCATAACGAGGCCCATCCCTTCAATACAGACAATGGAGTGTTATTATTTTAGGGATAATCTGTCTGAACTGCCTTGGTGGTCAGCTCCTACTAGGGCTACTTTCCAGCAGTGGACACAGCAGTTGCAAAACAGTCAGCAGGGAAGTGTCTATCACAGCAAGTCTTTAGAACAGAGAAGTGTTACACGGCAGGTGTGAGATACGTATGGCTGAACCTGCCCGGGGATGGGGAGATGGACTTCTGAGGCCACTTCCAAGGCCTATGCGCAAGAGGCAAACCTATCCCGAGAACATGCACTCTGCCGAAGCCGTAATCAGGACCATTTCCAGGAGCTTGGGAGTCACTTGGTTTTGAACGGAACAGGAGCTCCAGCCATCCATATTCCCAGAGGCCTGCTCCTTCTTTCACTACTAGTGGGCAAGTTATGGAACTGAAGACCACTGAGCCACCTACATGTTTGCAGTCAGTCCTCTTTTCAAGAGACTCCACTAGCAAATGCCAGAATATTCCTGAAGAGTTATAGAAGTAACTGCGTTCAGCAAAGAGATCATAAAAATGAGAGCAGGGACGACCAGTGGGTTTATTACGTCTCAGGAAAATAAAACAACCCCTTCCCTTTATTTTCTTGCTAGTAAATTGAGTGTCACAACCAAAGCCATGAATCATTTATCTGCGAATGCCCCCAGTGTCTGAGTTGGACTCCTCATTTGCTGTGTGCTGGCACTAGGACATAGGACATAGTCTTGCAAATCCTGCCCTGTCAAAAAGCTTCCTGGCACCAGTGGGTATGCCAATATGCCACAGAGTAGGATGCAGCAAACAACATGTTCTGCTGCGTGAGGAGGAACAACTAATTCCAACTCTGTGGCTTGTGTTGGCTGGCAAGGACAAACAAGCAATGCATTACAATGAAAGTATAACATAACTCTATCAGTCCAGAGAAAGAGCCTACGTGGCTCCTTCTCTGAATAATGTATACTCCACAGAAAATTGTTGCCAGTGGCAGGGGGCCTTAACAATTGATTCCGGGAAGGTTGCCATCTCCCAGAGTTCCTCGGCATTAAATGACATGTTGTTACTGACCTTAACGCATGTATTCTGAATTCTTGCCCAAACTGGTGTTTTCTCCAAAAACCAGCATTTTTGTGTCATTACATGGGAATCCCAGCTTCCATTGTGAAAGACAGAAATCTTAGCTTTAAAAGATGTGATTATAAAACACGACTTAACATCTCAAAGAAGCAACCTTAACCCCATCTACAAACATAGTAATTTTTAAAAGTCTTCCTATGTTAGGGAGCCCAATAAGTAATTTTTAAGTGGGTTGGCAAGGCTGAAGTCTGGCTCAATTGTAGTTTCTTTTGGAAAAGCCTATTATACAGATACACTTCCCTACCCCCATTTCAGTCATCTCTATTGCTTTTGTGGGACACGGGGAAGGAAGGAGCTATCTAAAGGTCTTTTCTACTGGAGATCAAAGAATGCCAATGCTTTCATATGGAAACTATGTATAGAAATTTAGTACAAACTGCCACCTCAGAGCAGGGCATAGGCACATCCTGTACGTGTCCAACACTGGCTTCCTCATAACGAGGCCCATCCCTTCAATACAGACAATGGAGTGTTATTATTTTAGGGATAATCTGTCTGAACTGCCTTGGTGGTCAGCTCCTACTAGGGCTACTTTCCAGCAGTGGACACAGCAGTTGCAAAACAGTCAGCAGGGAAGTGTCTATCACAGCAAGTCTTTAGAACAGAGAAGTGTTACACGGCAGGTGTGAGATACGTATGGCTGAACCTGCCCGGGGATGGGGAGATGGACTTCTGAGGCCACTTCCAAGGCCTATGCGCAAGAGGCAAACCTATCCCGAGAACATGCACTCTGCCGAAGCCGTAATCAGGACCATTTCCAGGAGCTTGGGAGTCACTTGGTTTTGAACGGAACAGGAGCTCCAGCCATCCATATTCCCAGAGGCCTGCTCCTTCTTTCACTACTAGTGGGCGAGTTATGGAACTGAAGACCACTGAGCCACCTACATGTTTGCAGTCAGTCCTCTTTTCAAGAGACTCCACTAGCAAATGCCAGAATATTCCTGAAGAGTTATAGAAGTAACTGCGTTCAGCAAAGAGATCATAAAAATGAGAGCAGGGACGACCAGTGGGTTTATTACGTCTCAGGAAAATAAAACAACCCCTTCATTTTCTTGCTAGTAAATTGAGCCTTTATTTTCTTGCTAGTAAATTGAGTGTCACAACCAAAGCCATGAATCATTTATCTGCGAATGCCCCCAGTGTCTGAGAATGCTGTTGGACTCCTCATTTGCTGTGTGCTGGCACTAGGACATACAAACGTGTCTTGCAAATCCTGCCCTGTCAAAAAGCTTCCTGGCACCAGTGGGTATGCCAATATGCCACAGAGTAGGATGCAGCAAACAACATGTTCTGCTGCGTGAGGAGGAACAACTAATTCCAACTCTGTGGCTTGTGTTGGCTGGCAAGGACAAACAAGCAATGCATTACAATGAAAGTATAACATAACTCTATCAGTCCAGAGAAAGAGCCTACGTGGCTCCTTCTCTGAATAATGTATACTCCACAGAAAATTGTTGCCAGTGGCAGTAGCCTGAAGCATTGACTTCGGGAACTATTGACTGCAGCCAGTCGGTTAACTGCCACTTTGGAGTTCAGGGCATGAGAAAAGAAGGAAAGTCATCTTTTGGCCAAGGAACAGTACAGAAGTTCCAATTAATTTTTCTGTAGACAGTTTTCATTCTCCTTTGTGCACAAGGGGCACAAGAGCAAAATGCATCTGCAAGTTACTATATGCTCTAAGCAATATAAAACTGTCAGTGGAAACCCTCAAACATTAGTAATTTTCCTCTCAAATGGTTTTAAGAGCTGAAGAGTTTTGGGAAACAGATGATCTGTAGTGTCCGTTTCTTCTCACCTCTGCGTTCCAGAATGCAGCATGCCTGGGCTTGCACAGCACACAGCAATGTTATCCTCAGGCCAACAACAGAAGAGGGCTAGGTTGCACAGATTGCCCTGTCCAACATTTGCATTGTTTCTGCCCCATTTTCTTTTAAAGATGGTTCTTAGGAAAAGAACCCCCATTAACCCTTTCCTGTTTCTTCTCAACAATTAACAATCCAATAGTGGATCAATTTGACCTTCCTTAGAAATCATTTGACCTGTACGGCAAAGTTTGTTTTGCATAAAACAGTTTCAGTCATACAACCATTTGTATCCCCCTTGCGCTTGTGTTGCTAATAAAGGTTTATATTTGGCATGGACAGACAGCATTGAGTTGTTCTCTGTTATGAGCGTAGACAATCCTGGTAGGCCTCAAAAAGGAATTACAATCTAGTAGCACTGCAATAGCCTGTGAGACCCAGCTACCAGATTAGCTCAGCCCGGCCCAACTCTCAGGCAAATAAAATACTCCAGGCAATTGCTGCAGGAACCTCTGGGGTTCCAGCAGTGGATCAAGAGAGAGAGTACTTCTGTGGAGAACACCTGCCCCACAAAAGCCAAACAACATTGAGTAGGGCCATGGCAGGCACAAGTTGTGGTAGGACCCCATCTGTTTTTGTGAAAGCACAGACAGAGCAGAAGAGCCCATCATCTGTGAAGCAGTACACATGCCAGGTTGTGCAAGCCATGACTGAAAACTCAGGCATTATTATTTTCTGTTGCTTGTAACCATCCCGTTTCTATTGACAGTGGGGGAGACAGAAGCCACAGAATTACTGGGGGTGCGGGGGGGAGCAGGACAAGAAAATACACAACCTTAAGTAGAGGAAGAACAGTAGTCTGTGTTCAGGATGGAAGAACAGCATATGCCACGACACAGGCCTGTGCAGGGACATTGCTACAATGTCATTTCTGTTGTATGCTTCTGGAAACTGCCCTGCAGAGTTCCGTTTCGCTGTGGTCCCTCTTCACGTCAGTTCCACTAATTTTGAAGTGCAAGATTAAAATCAGGTAGCAACAGGGCTAGGTGGGAATTATCTCAGAATACAGTGAAACCAAACTATTCACCCCATCTGTAGGGACATCTGCTTCTCCCCACCTCAGCTGGGCCCCAAGGGGAGGAGATAAGAGTAGCAACTGCTACTACTTCACCTGAAGGGAGGGAAGGGAGAATCCTTACTTGTTCTGGTGATCGGAAAGAGCAGCTTTAGGTTTTGGGAAACAGAAACCTGGAAGTAGCAAGAAGCAAAATACTGTGATCTAGTTAATAGCCCCAACAAGACTCATCCTCATTAGGAAAGGACTATGAGACTGATGAGAGCCCAAGGGGTCACACTGACTAATTTGCCAGAAGCAGTGGTGATTGCCCACTGGGATGGGTGGCTGTACATCTCAGCATCACGAGAGCTGACAATTTCTTGAGGTTACAGTCCAGAGCTGACAAACTTCAAGACAACTCCTTGCTTTAGCCCATCAGTAGGTGGTCCCTACACTATCAGCTCTCCATAGCTGACAAACTCAAGCCCTGCTGCTCTGAACACCACTGTTACTAAAGCACTATTATGACTTTAGAGCTCCTGCCTGAAGGATCCAGTAGTACATAAGCACTTAGTATGACAGGGGAACATTTAAAAATGCTCCTCAGTGAGGTCATTAAAATGGAAAGAAGCTTCCACTATAGTTACAGAGTCAGAAGACAGAGTGGTCCGAGAAGCAAGCTAGCTGGCGCAGAGCAGGTCATGCCATTTCACTGCTCCATGCTTCAACTTTCACAGCTATCAAACACAGAGGACAGAAGTTGTCCTCTATAGAGATTACATAAATCTACCGATGGAAATTCCAAAGAAAAGCTAGGGCTTATTATGTAAAGATCCTGCCCTTCTACCACATAGGGCTACTTCAACAACAGTCCTTTTGACCCAAGGGCAAGACACTCCTTTCCTCTATACGAAGTTTTTTCTCCCAGTTAGGACTGCCCTTGGATGTTTTGCAGAGTATAGAACAGCAGGTTTTCAACAGCCTGCAGGATCTTTAAATGTTACCATTTGCTAAAGAGAGATCACTGGATTATATTTGCTCTGACTCAGGCTGCCATAAGGGTGAAGGGACAGCTCCATCCATTATGCATGTCCAATAAAACATCACACAAGTGAGAGAAGATAAAAGATGCAAAACAGCAGGTGAGCCTGCTGCTCCTATCCTAATAAGCTGAGTTAGGCAAGGGGCAAGCTGAGATGGGGAAAAGCAGAACACCAGCAGCACATGGAAAGGTTCCTGCCTGGGCCTTTGCATGTGAGCAGCCTGCGTGAGCAATGGCCTCTTCCAGACTCTGCATACCAGCAAGTGGAACATCACCTCCGGTCCACATCTTTCAGCTGTGCAGGACTCAAAATAGCATGGTATTCTCCACAACAAGAGGGAAGTGTGGCATTTCCACTGCTTATTATGGAATGGCCAAGCGCTCACAGCACCACAGATCCATGGTTCAGACAGATTCCTCCTACTGCCCAGTTCACAGCTGCTTTGCTAAGTCACAGCCATCTCCGGGATGACCGTGCCCAAGAAGTCAGGGACAAGCAATGCCTCTTGAGTACAGCTGGGGTTCGCTGGAGCTGTTACCTCTCGACACCTTATTAGTGCAAGTTGTGGTTCTTCTCATGCATGTCTCCAGCTCCTCAGAACAGGAGGTGGTTTGTGAGAAACTGCTTGGTAGAAGAGCAGCAGCAGAGCAAAGGCAAACAATGCCTGGGTCTACTTTAAAAACACACCTAAATGGGAAAGGACGTTGCCTGCTCCCTAATTCAGTTCCTCCATCTGCAGTTCCTGCACTGTGGTCCTGCTAAGAACTCAGAAGTAATCACTCGAGCAGTTGTAAGAAAAGGCCAAAACAGAGACTGAGCTCAGCTATTCTCTCCATCTATGACCTCAGTGCTCCTTCACAGCCACCCATAAAGCGCTTTAGCTAGCGGAGAACATGGAAACTGGCAATGGAAGGCCAATGAGCAGGATCCTGGGCTCTTGCTGTTCTGGTAGCTTCCTCAGCTAAAAGCAAATCATCCCACCACCTTCACTCAAGCCTACAGCCAAGCACATCCCTCCACAGAACCCAGCCTGTACGCCCTTTGCTGTCTGGAAGCTTTGACAGAGATGGGAAAAGAACAGTCTCATCTTCATTAGATGCCCGATTCCAGTCAGAGAAGAGTTTGTGCTGATATTAAAGATGTCAGTCTCCACGTGACTTGTTATAAGGGATCCTGGATGGCAGCGTAGTGGGCAGAGGAGTCTGTTCCAGCAGGGTCTTGACACTGCGAGGGGCTGCTCTGCTGCTGTTTCTCAGGAAAATACAGTGTTTTGTGAATCAGATCTTTGACAGCAGAAACGTCGCCTCTTTCTACAGAAAAGAGAGAAAGACAATTGTTCGGGATTCTCAACAGGGAGTACGAAAGCCGTACTTCCTCAAGAAGTACCCGGAACTCTAGTTCCCAGCACATCACCTGCCAGCAGCCCTTCCTCTCTTTATTCCTGTACGTCCTTCACCCTTTCTGCACTCACCCACACCCAGCTGCTGCAGGAGACTTCCAAACTCTGGGTCACAATCCAGGATTTTCAACAGGTTGGTGGACTCCATTCTCTCCAGCTGCACATCCCAGTAGATGTAGATCTTCTGATTGAAGCTGACATAAACCAGGCAGGGGCTGTTGCTTCCTCCTTTGCATGCATAGAGGCCTGCAGAAAGCAAAAGTGTGGAGATCCAACTACTTCCAAAAGGACAGAGAAAACAAATAGGTGACTTCTCATGATGAGGTATCAAAGCTGTTAGCAGAAAGCAGCGAGCACCTGGGGTGAGGGGCGCAGACATGGACTTTGGTATATGAAGTGCCTTTGAGACAATCCAAGAAAGTGTCTCTAAACTGTTATTAACGCATAGAGCTTTGGAATTTGCAAGCTGCTTCTTGCAGGTTAGAGAGGGGACTGAGCAAAGCCAAGGCTCAGGCTGGTTCTGCGGGGCTCCTTATCTCCACTTGAAAACAGCTTAGAAGCCTGCAAATTAAAAAAGCAGTGGGGAAGACAAGAGACCACTGTAACACTCCCAAAAAGGACAGGAAAAAAACCCAAAACCATCACAGACAAACCTCAGCATCACCTCCTCTCACCGCTACTTTTCCCAGATGCCACCAGAGGAAAGGCTATCTGGGCCTTCTGCAGTATACACAGGGAAATTATTCCCCACTGCAGACAGACAAAGGATTCCAGGTCTCCCAGAGAGGAGTAGTAGCTTTGAGGGAGAAATGCTGTGAGGGCTGCTCAGCATCACCTCCTCTCACCGCTACTTTTCCCAGATGCCACCAGAGGAAAGGCTATCTGGGCCTTCTGCAGTATACACACAGGGAAATTATTCCCCACTGCAGACAGACAAAGGATTCCAGGTCTCCCAGAGAGGAGTAGTAGCTTTGAGGGAGAAATGCTGTGAGGGCTGGCTTTGCAGTCAGGCTCCCCACCTGCACAGAACGCACTGACATTCTCATCTGCTTGAAATCTGGCAACAGTCCGATTCTGGTCGATGATGTACGTCTGACCATCCCATGCACAGGCAATCACCTCCTCATGTCCATTGCCCTGCAGGAACCATAAGATTGCATATTAGCATGGACATCAATTATTCCCAGAGGCAGTCAAAAGTCTTTCCTGCTTGTTCAGAGACAGAACACTAATGTCTGAACAAGGTGTCACTTTTGGACATCTTGTCTAGACATTTTGCACTTGGAGACCATCTCTCTCTCCTCTATTGTAATCCTTATGTATCATAAGAGCTTGTAGACAATTGGGGTATTAGCAGTGTGCAAAACCATTCAACTTTGCAATAAGGTAAAAGAGCAGCTGGGGGACGAAAAGTTCATAGCAGGATCCTGGGTTCACTAGGGTCAAACAGGCAGACACAGCTCAACCTCTTGCAGGTGGACAGACTGACATGAGCGCAGAATGCACCAGCACAGTCAGAGCACTCTGTATGTCATCCTGAGATAATCCCAGTCTTTTTCAGCTGAGTCATACTCCCTCTGCCCTTCCTAAATTCATATACACAAAGCCATGTTGAGTTTTTGTCTTCATCCCTCCCGGCCCTATTCACAGACACTCACAGTAACATCCAGCTTTTCCAGAGCAAACAGCTGGTGATCAACCTGCACAGACCAGAGCAGCTTGTCTGCTCCCTCCATGAGTTTCAATGTCCCTGAAGGGGGGGAAAGAAAAAAAAAAAAAAATATTGTCTTGAAGCTGTTAAAAGGGAGCAAGATGTTTGCTAACACTGGGCCCTGCACACTCCTTCAACACTTAGGGTCTGCAGGCAGAGGGTTGGGCCCATGGTACAGGCTGTGGTTGTTAATAGGTAACACAGTCTCAGTTTCAGGAAGGACAGCAGTCCTTTATCTTCTCATCAGTACATCAGCAACTGGAAACAGAGAGGAAAAATGGCAGCAGCCCTGCTAATTGGATTGTGCTCTAAGACAATAAGAAAACTGCCCAAAACAGGCTCCCAAAGTACAGTACATAACAGATCTCACATGAGACAGTTAGTAAACTGGAAGCTTCTCACCATGTCCCACAGATCATGTGATCTCAGGACACCATGTTGACAAGTATCAGCTGAGAGCTGGCTGGCTAATAGCACGGGCACGGCCTCTTGGCTGCTAAAACCATACTGGACACTTACCTCACATACTGTTTTTCTGTCATCCAGAGATACTGTGATAGTACTGGGGGGGAGGGGAGGCCCGTGAAAGAGTGGAACGTAAACATGAATCTATCCTCACAGTGCCCTCCAGCCTCGGTAAGGCTCACGAGTGAGCCACAGTGAGGCAGGAAGCCTTGCCAGATGCAGAAGCTTCAGAGTTCAGGCCCAAAGAATAATCAGAAGTTCCCTAGCAGGACATCATTGGGCAGGTGGACGTCTGGCCCAAACAGGACAGGCTGCCTATCTGGGAAGAGAAAAGCACAGCATCTTGTCTCCACACTGTTGTTTTTCGGACAGAAACCCTGCGTTCAGCTCATTAGATTCAGTCCTATTGCAGCCTGTCCTATCATTTCTCAGTCAGGGGCACAAGCAGAAAAACATGGCTCCAGGTCTGCATGAGGCCAGCTCCTCTCTACCAATACTCAAGTTCCAGCATCCATTTCCTTTACTGCTTTTGGAAACAACCCAAGTCCCTTCAAGTACAAGGACACATCTCTGCTGTGGTTTAGAGGCTCCCGTCTACATGAATGGCACTGCTGAATTGGCATCTCAGTTATTTGACCATTGAGTAAGCAGGCAACTTAGGAGTGAGCAGATGACAGTTCTAGTCTCTCTCTCCATCTCAAGCTTTCAGTGTGCCTTTGGGCCAATGACCTAGCCTCTTCATTTTCCCAGCTGCTTGCTGCAGCATGGCTTTAATACTTCTACCCCCATAGGCCATGAGACCATACAAGCAATTAAAGTTTGCAAAATCCTTTGAAATTCACAGATGAATAGACGGTACCAGGGGAGAGATAAAGGCAGATATTAGTAACAGATAGAAAACACAACAGGTTTCCTGGAGAGAGCAAGCCTGTGCAATATCAGACCAATTCAGTAAGGAACAGAAAGACAGGCTCAGCTTTAATACGTTTCATCATATCCTCAGATACAGGCATGTTATCACTCACCTGCTTTAGGGGGAACTTGCTCACAGTGACAACTCTTACCTTGGCTCCTGTCTTAGCTTTCATGCCTTCATATAAAATATGTCAGCAGAAGGAGTCTTTGAGTCAAATTCTCTTGCCTGACCCAGGAAGCGTTTCTGAAGCCCGGCTCCCTCTTCTTTCAAAACCAAAAGCACTGAGCCCCTGGTTCCCTGCTTTCAATTAGTGACAGGCCTTGGCCACCCCACCGGCCTTTCTTCCAGGACTTACCATCCAGAGTACAGAGGGCAAAGAGACCTGAGCCACTATTCTCACTGGAGCAGCCTGTAAGTGCAGAAGAGAATTACAGGAGTTGATGCCGGTTTATGAGCATTGTTCTCTCCCTCTCCTGAAAAAAAATTCCAGAACAAGCTGATCCATCCCGCCTCCTTATTTACCTAGCCTTGACCCTTTGCTTAGCAGGTATCTGCAGATTCTTGCAACCAATCATACTTCATGCTGGCTTTTATTTGTAGGGCACTGGCATCTCAAAACCCAAGACCTTTGGTTTGCACTGATCATTTTTATCATAGGCATGTCTGGTTCTGCTGGCTGATCCTAGGAGTCTGTCCGTACCACATATGCACTTGCAGGCTGATGGCAGTTCCAATTTTAGTGGACTGCATCACATCCTCTCCAGGCTACAGAAATGCACAAGCATGGGCAGGACCATCACAAAGGACAAAGTGAAGAACAGCTGCAGCCAAACAAGAGTATTACAACTGTACCCTCGCTGTTTCTTTCAAGGACAGGAACATGGCCTTCGGCTGTTCTGGGAAGGTGCAGGGGAAAAAAAGAGAGGTCCCGCCAGAAGGACAAAGCATCCGTCACATTAGCACAAAAGCACCTCCATGGCAACTCCTGAATGAGTCTGTGGAGATCATGCTACCAACTCTATTGTTTTCGCTACAGCAAAACTGCACAGAAGCTGTGATCCTCTCCCAGCAAACACTGGTAAGATACTAGAGAGCCCTTGCTTTATGAGCAGATTAGACATGTGCCTTCATGCTCATCTACACACTCAGCCCTGGCTTTCCTAGGCTATGTTTATACAGCTGTGAACTTCCCACAAGCAGTATCCTCCCCAAAGGCTGTACATCACAGTTGTGTGCAGGACAGCACTGACGAATGTGACTAGTTAAATCTGAAGAAGAGACTCCCCTGACCACTGGGCTGCTTCAGCTCTTCAGTACACTCTCCACCTAACTACCAGTCAGAAAAGACATGCAAGGTCAGGTTTTGAAAGTGATACCACACTTGGAGGGAGAGGACTGGAGCTGCATTCAACTACAGCTGCATTTAATCCTTTCAGTGACAATGTAGGAGACACACTGGCTCCCTGAGGTCTGCAGGAACCCAGGAAACCTGGCAGTCTGGGACAAGCCAGCAGAGCTGAAAGCAAATAGGCAGTTTCTCCAGAATGACGTAATACTGCAAGCCTACCTCCACGGTCCATAGACAGCTCCAAGCTACAACATCCTGCACACTCCCAGGACACAGACTACCCTATTTCCACAGATCAGCTTAAAGCAAACAATCAGCTGGTTGAGTGCTCTGTTGCCGCTAGCTGACATTCTTCCAGACAGGCTCTGATCCAAAAGATCTGCTGTGTTCCCCTTACAGACCGGTCAGCATGGCACTCTTCAGCTGTTTCATTACTGATGGTCCAGCATCAGTGGGCTTTTCAAAACCTTCTCTTTATCCCTTATTCTGTGTGTCTTCATTTTTCACAGACACCTCTCATTAGATGCAAGGCTTTGTATGCAGTGAAATAATTGATTTCATGCTCTTGTTGACCATGTTGCTCATAGCAGCATCCGAGATGCTGAAAACATGGCAAGCTTAGGAACTGGGGAGGAAGGGTACTCTGGGGAAGGGGAAGAGGAGTGGTTTCAGTGGATTGCTCTTCTCCCCCAGCTCTAATTACACTGGACAGCCTAAATCATTCTCAGACAGCACTGCAGGGGGTAATACTTGGACAGAGCAAATGAAGCTGGATTCCAGCCAGCTGCAGACGAGAGAGTGATCTGCATTGGGAATTTTCTGCCTTCTTGTATTATGCCCACACGCTCCAAAGGGGAGTGAAAGCTGCTTATTCTCCATAGGTACCAAAACAGGGTTCAGCAGGTGCACCAGGCACAGGTCAGAGCACAAAGCAGTTACACAAGAGAAGCAGTGGCAGTGTGTAAGAAAAGTCTGGACACAACAGCGGTGTGTCAGGGCTGAGAGGAACCAGCAGCTGTGGAGAGTTTAGATACAACAGCTGAACAGAATACATTGGAAGGAGACAGAGGACAGTGATATAAATGAAATATGGAAGCAGCTCTGGAGGGGTTGGGACTGCGTAGGTGACGGAAGAGCACACTATAGCTGCCAGGTATCGGGAATCAAATGCTGAAAAGCACAAAAGCAGGAATAAAGATGAGGCTGTGGAACAGAAGAGATGCATCTAGGGAATACGAAGAGGGCATAAGCTGCAGCCATGCAAAAGCAAAGACCAAGGACATGTGCAGGAGCAAGGCATGGCAGCCATTCAGGATGACTAAATGCAGGCCAGTAGAGGCTGCAGAAAAACTGTTGTGCTAGGTGAAAAGTAAGAGCTACCTAGGGAAGGACAAAGGCTATAAAAAGTTCAAATGCAGATATCCATCTGTCTTTCTTTGGGAGCTGACTAACAGAAGCCGAGTTCCCTCAGTTCTTGCAGCTGCCTCCCACTATTATTTTTCAGCCACAGGAAATCTGACTTCATGCTGGACTGACATACTGAAAAACTATCAGGGGCAACTGTTGGGCCAGAGACCCCAAGCTCCTAATCTCTCACCTCGACCAATGCTACCAATTAGATGAGTGGAAACATTCTTGTTGTGAATCCGTCCAGATGTTTGGTGTAGAATAACATCTCGAATAGGGGCCTCACTAGGGAAAAGAGAGACAGACATCAGTGGAAGGTTAGGGAACCATGCCTGGGACCGTGCCAGAACAATCTCAAGAACAGCGTACTCCAAAGCTCTACAAATCCAAAGATTGATAGAGTTTGTGCACAGGTTAGCCCTGTAACAGTAAAGACCAAGGAAAAGAAAGCATGCCACCCCAGGTATGAAAGGAACTCGCTAATGTTTAAAAAACAAAACCAGAATGATTTGATGCATCAGAAAACTGGAAAGAGCGCAAAGAAAAAAAAGAAAAAAGTCAGTAAAACATGTATTCCAATCAAGGAAAAAAAAAAAAGAAAAAAGTCAGTAAAACATGTATTCCAATCAAGGAAAAAAAAAAAAGAAAAAAAAAGAAAAAAAAAGAAAAAAGTCAGTAAAACATGTATTCCAATCAAGGAAAAAAAAAAAGACAATTTTTATGATTACTGTCACGTAAGCCTGGCTGCTTTTCACTCAGGAAGTGTCTGCCTGGGGTTGAACAGGTTGGTCAGAGATCATGCCTGGACCTGGCTTCTGGCTATGAGGGTACCATTCCACTGAAGTCTCTAAGACATCAAGGAGACTTGCCCAGCTGCCCTCCTGCTGCAGTTTTCTGGGTCTGCTTTAAAGTCTCACAGAATACCACAGAAGCACCTGAATTCCCCACAAGGGTCCCTCCAGCACCAAGGACAATAACCTCACTGCTCATCTCGATTGTTCTGGTTGCGATTTACAGCACTGGCTGCCAGGGTTCTCATTAGGAAAACCTCCAATCACCTCACCTGGAAGAAACAAGTGAATGAACCCAAAGTGTCATCCTGGGCTTCAGACTAACTGGGCTTGGCCCAGCCTTTCAGTTGCTATCCTTCCCACCATTAGACAGGTCACCAGATTGCCTACTACTCTTTCTCTGGAGATCTAGGTGGCTCATTTCCCTGCCTTAATCCCCAGTACTGACCCCTCAGTGAGCTGGTTTTGCCGGTCTCCTTGCCCATCCCAAGGAGAAGAGAGTGGGATACAAGGAAAGCAGTACTATTCATCTTTGTGATAGAGGCATGAAGAGTGTTCATGGAAGCTTGGATGTGGGTGTGCTTAAGTCATGAACTCCCAGCAGCACAGCAGGTCACTGAAGCAACGACAAAAGACAGCACCCCCCCAACACCACCCCCTCCTCAGAAAGGTGGTGTGGTCAAAGGTGCCCCCTTGTGACAGGCATCTACAGCGGACTCTCCTCATCTATCCCATGCAGTAATGCTCTTCACCTGCTCGGGGCAGAGTTGTCTCTTCCCTCTGTCGTGGCCTGCTGCTCGGAGTCCCAGGTGCACAGCAGAATCGCATAACCGCAGCCTGGCTGAGACACCATCATCTCCGGTGAGCCATCAGGGCCTGGGTTCACAGAGAGGCTGTCCACCTATACTGGCAGAGGAAAAACATGGATAGAGTTGAACTGAGAACTTTAAACACCTCAGAAGGGTTCACTGTGCTCCTTGTACCTAAACTTGAATATGGCAGATCTTCTGATAGAGCTGAGCAGGAGCTGAACAAATTCAGCTAGAAGCAAAATGTCCAAGTTATAGTAAAAGGTTATGTTTCCCTACCAAAAGCCACTTAAGAACACGCTAGTATTTTCCATTAATGCTCTCTAGCTGGGTGAGAGCAACTGACTGTTTCCCAGACCAACCCACCAGCTGCTCCGTGTGTATAGGAAAACCACTGGGCAAATCTCCTTTCAAGCCATCAACACGACAATTGCTTTGTTCATAGGACTGAGATTTTTTGCTTCTTCCCTTGGGAGAGCCACCTCTTGAAGACTGTATGACAAGTTCTGCTCTGAACATCCTGTTTCCTTACCTGACCTTCTAGCAGCCATTTCTTCAACAGGAGTAGCTGCCCAGAGACATGGTCTGAATTCTCCGACAAGTCCTCCCAGCGGAAGGCACGTACCACCCTGTCAGTGTAACCCACCACCAACTCACACTTCCCATCTCCATCTGCAGGGAATACAAGAAGACAGATGGGCTCTCAGGCTTTCATAGCCCCAAGACCCCCAACATTCAGAAACCACTGTGCTCATTTCCATCAGGTAGCATCCCTGAGGATCCCAATCCTGTAATGAGAACTTGCACTTCAGGAAAATTCCTGGAGTTCTTGCTTCTCTCCTCCATGACTTGGCTGTGGTTTGTTAGAGCACCTGTTTCAGCAAGATAGTAATTTCCTTCTGTGAGTCCCACACACGTTCTCTCTCTCTCTCTCCCCCCCCCCCCCCACCTCATACCCACAAACTCCCTCACCCTGCACTCCCACACCAGCTTCCCGGCTCACCAATGTCACTGATCAGCATGACCTTGGTGTTGGCAGGAATGTGCTGCTTGAACACTGGCTTCTGCTCTTCTGCTGCTGCCAACTCATGGTGGCCTGAAGCATCTGAGTGTTTTGAAGTTGGAGAAGTCAGGTCAAAAAGATGAAACCAGCCTTCTGCACTCACTGCCACCACGAGATTCTAAGAGGGAAGAGAAAAACCTTTTGATTTTTCCTCTTTTAGAAACTGCGGAAGCTGTCCCACAGCAGGGCGAGGGAGGATATGAGGGTAGATCCATCAACATCAATGACTGCTACAGAGGGAACAGGAGAAGGTTTTTGGCCAGCATCAAAACTACTCAGGTACTGCAGGGTCGAAACTTCTTGTTCATCCTTGTCAAACTAGGATATCAAGCTGATGTGTGCACGCAATCCCCAAACAATGTGTGGCTTTCTCAATGCTCACTTCAGCTCTGCTCCCCACTGGAGCACACATAGCTACAGTATTTTAGGCAGGGTGCCTAAACTGGGACTTTTGGACTCAGCGGTCCTGGTTTAACCCCCAGAAATAGCAATCCAGCAAAAACTCCTATTAGACCCAGTGGAATTTACTTGGGAGTCTAGACTATTCTGTGGCTCAGTCTTGTTTAGATGACCTTAAATGCACACAGCCAAGTGACAGAAGGGCCATAGCCCACAGCAGGGACCAGCACAGAGCAGGGCACAAGCCACTGAGGAAAAGGAGCAACCATCAAACCACCAAAGCCTTGCGGCACTCACACAGGGGGACATGCAAATCAATAGTGCTTTCTGAAGATAGGATGGATTTCTTTGCTCACTAAAACCTGCATATGGCTCACAGACAGATACAGATTATACGTAAACAGAAGGACAGTTTTAAAACAGTAGCGCTAAAACTCTATGAGCAAGGGCAGATCCTGGAGAGAAAGCACCTGCAACCTGTCTTCCTCCACACTCAGGATATGACATGACCCTAATCTCCTAAGCACCTCCCACATGTCCTACAGACACAGCTGGGAAGAGTTTGGCCGCTCTTACCTTTCCTTTATTGCACACATCTCCCACGCCAACACATGTGAGCTGCAAGAGAAAAGAAGGCCATACATGAGAGAAGGCAACCCAAAACAGCACTTTGGGATAAGCCTCTGCCCTACCCCCTCCTCTCTCATAAACCATCTCTTGAACTCTAAACAGCCTTTTCAAGGACAAAGAGAGCAGAGTCAGGGACAGAAACACATCTGCCACACAACTGCCCAGAGCCCTGGGGCAAAATCCACAGTGCACAGGAGCAGGGTCAAAGTAGGACAGAAGCCCAGTTCCTGTGTTTGTTCAGTACTTTGCTCATCACTTCTCGCCCATGGGGCTAGCTGGGGGCAAAAGCAGGGCCTTGCATAATGACATGAAAGGCATCAGAACCAGTTCTAGCTGCCATTCCCCTCTGGCCTACCTATTCCTAGGCAGTGGTCAAGGACAGCTGGCTGCACAGACACCAAAAGGCCCAACCATTTAAAAATTTTGTCAAGAACTGACCATTCCTTGGCAAGATCGCACAGCCCAGGGTTTGCTGTCATCATTCTTGTAAACATAAAGTTTCCCGTTGGTGTCTCCCACCACTAGCTCATTCAGCTGTACAAGAGAATTGTGTTAATAAGAAGAAATTCACAATTACACTAACAGTATTCCCACACAGCAATAATTACAGAATTCCTATCTAAAAATCCCTCTGTGGGAAGAAGCAGCAAAGCAAAACAAGAGTTAAAGAGACAGCCTCGAATCAATAGAGGTGGTCTGGGAAAAAAATCAAAGCACTAATTTTACTCTTGCAGATAAAAGAGCTGGAGTGGCTCCTTAGAGCAACATCCCATTATCCACTGCTTCTCTAGCCATTGTTTCAAGTTGCGTCACTGTGTTTTAACACCCTGCTCTGCTAATCATCATGACCCCATCTTCCATCCTTCAATCCGGATTGACTTGATCTTTCTTGAACCATCTGAGGAAGATGATGGCAACGAGGAAAATGTAATGATCCAGGAAGAGGCTGCAAGAACACTTACAATAGATTTACACTGGATGGTCAATCTCACTGATGAAGGGATAAAGGTCTTTCAGAATGGTGATTATTTCTTTAAAGAAGACTCCTAAAAACCAGCAACCACCCCGGCTGACAAGCCCATTCCTACTTTCCCATCTTCTGCATCATGCCTCTGTGTATTGAAATTGTGTGCATTTCATAAATCCCTGCACACATTACCCCACGCAACACAACTTCTTATGGGAAAATTTGTTTTATCATCCACTGCATTGCTAGCCATGACACTTTTCAGGATAGGTCTGTAATAAAATTTGACTGTTGAAGAGAAGAAGGGACAGTTTACATATACCTGGTTAAGCTAACCTCTTCCTCGTTACAGACAAATCAGACCCACCAGAAACAACCATTTGTGGGGCCAACAGCAACATTCCCGATGCACATCCATCCATCATACAGGTCACGAGACATTCAAACTTGGCTCTACCCTGTTTGTGATCCACTGTACCCCAGCAATGCATTTCCCCACACCTCTACATCCCCACCACCGCGACAGGAGAATGTCTCTCTTTGGGACCAAAAGTTAACCTCCCTACTAGCTATACATCATCCAGGGCCCATGCCAAGGGCGCCGAGCACGTCTAACGGTGATGGAAGCACTGACCACCGCAGCCCAGAATCACTGAAAGATTCAGTTTGCAAGGGACCTCTGGGGGCCATCTGGTCCAACCTCAGCTTCTGACATTGCTCGAGCGCCTGTCAAGCTCCAAGTCCCCCCAAGGGCGGGAGCCCCACCACCTCCTCCAGGCTCCTGCTCTGGTGCCACACCATCCTCTCGGTGTTTCCCGCCCCGTTTCAGCCTCCTTCGCTACGACCTGCGACTGCTGCCCCTTGCTCTGCCGCTGCTCATCTCGGAGGGCGGCCGGGCGGTGGG